CAGCTACTGAGGAGGCTGAGGCAGGAGAATGGTGTGAACCCGGGAGGCGGAGCTTGCAGTGAGCCGAGACCGCGCCACTGCACTCCAGCCTGGGTGACAGAGCGAGACTCCGTCTCAAAAAAAATAAAAAATAAAAATAAATTTTAAAAAATTATAATCAGGAAACACTGATCATGACCCTTCCTCCCCAGTTCCCTCCCTTCCCATGTCACAAGCCAGGAACCAAAAGGTGTCTGCTCCCCTTACCGTGGCCTGGGCGGCACCGGCCTGTCCTTCCTCTAGCTCCGGCCGTCTCCCTACCCCTCTGTCCCCTCATTCTTCCCCCAAAATACACTCAAGCCCTCTCTCCTTCAAGGTAGCAAATTTTCAAAGTACCTGAAGTTTCTGATGTAAAACCAGGTTTTCCTTCTGGACAAATGGAATGGGGAAGAAAACTGGACTTCTATTCCTGCGAGAGGGTCTCAGGCCCTTAGAGCTAGAGATTCTGTACCAAGCATAACACTGGAAAAAATCAACCCAGGGAAGTCACCTGTAGAGCAGAGGTTCTAATGCTGGCCTCATCCTCAGACCACCAAGGGGGCTCTGGCCCGTCTCCAGGCCCAGGTGTCTTCCAACGGCAGGTGTTTCAGATGCGTAGCCAAGGCTGACAGGCGTTGTGCTGGATGTTGAGTCCGGTCTTCTGGGCGCCTACAAGGGGTGATTACGTTCCCCTGTCTACCTCAAAATGTTCTAATGTTTGTAGAGTTGCTTGCTGGGCCATCTGCATTACCAAGGAACAGTGAACCAGAAGCTTGAAGTGGCCAACAGTTGGGTTTCAGGAGCCCCCAGGGGATGTGCCCTGAGGTTTGAGATCCATTGACCTACACTAACAAGGTAAGAGACAGTGACTCAGGAGAGCTTCTCAGATTGAAAACCTGTGAAGTCATTTCATGTTTCATCAGCAGTTTCACCTTGACAGGTACTTGTAAAAGCTCACAAGGTTGAGCTGAGGACTCCACTGGATCGGTGCCTCCCAAACTTCTGGGTGTTCAGTGTGCGTGCATGTCATCCAGGGAGCTGCGGAAATCCCCAAGACTGGGCCCATTCAGGAGGGGGTGAGCTTCCGTGTTCCTAATTTGGAGGCCTAAGCCAGTTCTCTCTGAAATGTGCCCACACTCCACTTTCTAGGAGGCACTGAGCCGACGCCTGGTTGGATTCCCTGCAGGCACTTCACCTCTCCCTGGGCCTCAGTTTCCTTATTTGAAAACTAGGAACAACTTTGTGAGACTGCTAGGGATGCCAATACCACATCTGGCACAGGTATGGAGGTCTGGGCAGCAGCCTGGCGCTCTCTGGGCCTAACTCTACCTTCCACTCCCTCTGCCCACTCCTTTTTGTCCCTTCTGGTCTCTGTCCTCACAGCTGTAGACACTAGTCCCTGTCAGATGTGCTAGAAGGGACCTGAGACAAATTGATGGCAACAACCTGTTTTGTAACAATAAGTTGCTAAAAACAATAAAACACAGCCTGGGAACATCAGATGCATGCAAAGGACACACCATTGAGGGCATTCTCTCCTTGTTTAACACCTTTCCCAAGTTGGGGGGCGTGGGGTGGGTTAACACAAAGCACTCAGAGCAGTGCCTGACCTGTGAAGCAGTCTCTGCATGGCAGACTCTGTCTTTACTCTGCTGTGGCCCCTGTGCACCTGCCTCAGTCTCTGTCTTCCAAGGTGACAGGCTGTTCTCTGATAAACTCACTACCATTGAGGTGTTAATGTCTAGTAGAGTTAACCTGATACCCATCCTGCCACATCTGGATTTGAATTGGGGAATTCTCAGTGATTTTATCTGTCAGGATGCTTTGCCTGCAACTAACAAAAGGACTGAGTGAACTTATCTTTAACAACGAAGACCCTCATCATCCCACCCAAGAGAAGAAAAGGGGCAGGAGATCGTCTCACACCTCGCTGGCACCAGGCCTGGCTTCCTCTGCCGTCTCACACCTCACTGGCACCAGGCCCGGCAAAAGCCGTCTCACACCTCACTGGAACCAGGCCCGGCTTTCTCTGCTGCCTCACACCTCGCTGGCATCACGCCTGGCTTTCTCTGCCGTCTCACACCTCACTGGCACCACGCCCGGCTTTCTCTGCCATCTCACACCTCGCTGGCACACCTTGAAGCAAGTATTGAGAGGCAGGAAAAGCGGCAGTCGCTTCTTGCAGGCCAAAGTGCCCATTTCTACAGCCGGTGTTGGCAAGAACTCAGGAGCCTGAGGTGGGAGGATGGCATGAGACCAGGAGGTTGAGGCTGCAGTGGGCCACTGCACTCCAGCCTGGGCAACAGACCTGTCTCAAAACAAAAAAACCCTCTCTCAAAAACAAAAAGAATGGAGGTACCCTGATGCCTTTGCTTTGAGGGAGGACCTTGTGTCTACCAGGTCCGTGAACATTTGCTGCCCAACTGGATTTCGGTTAGCAAGGAAGAAGTGGGTGACCAGTCTCCTCCATGCCATAGAGCCTCAGACCCCAAGGAGTGCATGGAGAACAGTGGAACCTTCATCGTAACGACAGACAGTCCCGGTCCTGAGCACCTCGGCCAAGTTCCTGAGTCCCCCCAAGCCCTGGCAACTTCATCTACAGAATGGGGTTGCCAGTACCCACCTCACAGGGTGGCTGTGAGGATGAGTCTGCACAGACAGGCCCAACAGTGTCTGGCACCCGGCACACACTGGCACGCAGTAGTTTTTACCACCATTCTTCTTAGCATTGTCTCCTTTTCCTCAAGGGCCTTCTTTAATTAAGCCGCTCACTATTTACCTGCATAAATATTAAGGTTTTTGATACAGCATGCTGCCCAGACCCCCAGGATTTCAGATAAGGGACTGCAGACCTGTGTATATTTTTCAGAAGTGATATAAATGTAAATGAGATTATAGGTTTGTCTTTGTTGAGATCTTCAAATAAGAGCTATTTGTATACTTTTAATACATTATTATTATTTGGAGTCAATCTCCTTTTTCTTAAGAGACGGGGTCTTGCTATGTTTCCCAGGCTGGCCCCAAGTGTCTCAACACAAGTAATCCTCCCACCCCAGCCTCCCACGTGACGTGCCGGGCTCAGTCTTCATTTTGAGTCTTCATTTCAGTTTGGGTGCTCCAGGGCCTGACGTCCACGGGTGGTGCTGCAATGTGAAGCCCTCACATGGTCCCCTCAGGCGCTGGCACAAGCACTGGCCCTGTTCCCCGCCCGGCAGTGCCGTGGAGGTACCTGCAGAGCTGGCATCCTGCTGACATGGCCCCTCAGGCGCTGGCACAGCACTGGCTCTGTTCCCTGCCCGGCAGTGCCGTGGAGACACCTGCAGAGCTGGCATTCTGCTGTTTTCTCATGGAGTCATCATGGTCAAGTACCAGAGCCTTGTAACCTGAAGTTATCTCACTAGGAAAATACAAAAACGTTTAGGATGTTGTGCTTGTAAATCATCACCATGCATTTCCCACATCAGGATGGGGAGGTCTCCTGCACATAAACGAATTCACACAACCATGTTCCAGTAACACCAGATACAGAAGGCCTTGGCCTGACCCCAGCCCATGACGGTCGCCCAGCAAGAGTAAGCAGCAAACTGGTTGTTGGAAGTCAGGGAGATGTGCCGTTTGTCACTGCAGTTTCACCTCATTATCCTGACCTACATGATGATTAACCACAGACACGTACACCCCTTAACTGGCTACCAGAAACTCTGGAGCTAAACATCTGGCTCACGGTGTAATGGAGGCATGAGCCTTTATGTGTGGTGGACACTTTGTAGCCTAATTTCTGGCTCCCTTTTTTTCTCTCTCTCCTACTCATACCATCATGTGGGATTTTATCTGTCCTTACAAATTGTCTTAAATCCTTCCTTCTTAGTTTAACTGGCCTGAGGCAGTGGCCTCTCCATTCTGATGTGGAGTGTAAACAAATAATTTCCTAGATCTGAAAAAAATCTTGCTTCTGCCATTTGATGACTCATACACAGCTTAGTCCCAGAGCACAAATGAAAAGAAAAACAAGGCAGTCAGCTTCCTGCAGCAGCATCTCCTACAGTCGTTCTCCGCACAGTGCACATGCAGCTTTCTGGGTGGTGGCCTCATCACTCACCCACAGCCACTGTCTGCGGCACGTGGCCTGGATCCGGTGGTCAGCACGGCAGGCTGCTCAGTGCTGCAGGTCTGCCATCCCTAGGGCATTTCTCCTTTTGGGGAGGAGGCTGGCAGGGCACAGCACCTAAAGCCCCTGCTGCTTCCAGATTCTGCTCCTGCACCATGGGCACCTGTCATGTGCAAATGCTGGGACAGACGCCTTCCCTGTGCCGTCTTGATTCTCACAGCCCTGCTGCACCGGCAGAAAGCCGGTGGATGGGATGGCACTGACTCATAGTGCAGAACCTGACTTCTGAATTTAGAACCTGACTGCTGACAGGGGCCTGGGGCATTAAGGGGGAAGCCGAACTAAATAGTAGCTGACGAGGTATAGATTCTGTTTTCTCCTCTGATAAATCCCTGTGTCAGAGGTGACACAAAGAATTCAGTATAACCGAGTCACACACTCTTCAGAAGGCAAAGACCAAGTCTGCTGCACATTGGGATGGATTAGAAAATACACTAGGTGGCCACACGCACCAGGGGAAGTGTTACTGCTTCAGGTGTGATGGAACCACGGCCAGAGCCAGGGTCACCCAGGAAGCCCCAGTAAACCCAGCAACTCACTTTCTGCCCAACCTTGGCCTGAACCAGAGGGTGGAACCCGTTGCACAAAGCCGTGCTAAAGAGGCCAGTCGCGGACGAAGTCCAAGTGCCTACTCAGCAGCTCCAGGGGGTTGGGAGGCCCTGGGGACCCTCTGCTCTCCCCAGGTTTGCAGGTTCAGTTCTCACCCCAGCCACTGCTGTGGCCTGACCCCTCGGGCCAAGCACTCACTGGCACCTGGCAGGGCTCTGCAGGTGGAGGTGGCCACGCCAGCATCTCAGAGACACAATTTTACCATTTTCTTTTTGTGAGAATCTGTGGTAAGATGGCCATTTATTTTTTACATTACACACAGTGTATGGAAAAAAACAACAGTGACTTCTGCAGCAAACTGTGTTTAGATACACGGAAAAGCTAGAAAACGTCGACGTAACAGAAGAGCAGATGGTTTTAACTCCATCAACTGCCTCAACAAAGCCACATGCGGCAGCACGTGCCAATGCTTTTCCCTGCGAACGTGGGATGGGCAGAGCTGACGCCTCTCCATCTACTCCCTGCTTGCATTGCAGCCGTGGCTGTCCTCCGTTGTGCCACCTCCTTCCTCTGCCTCCAACTCCTCTGTGTCCAGGGCGTAGCATTCGTACTCCGGGGCACCAACGAGGTCCGGCTCATCTTCCACCTCCTCGCCCGACAGGTAACTCTTGAGGGAGCTGTCCTGCTCCAGGCGGGGCCTGGCCCTCTTCCTTCCCTTTTTCATCTGCGTTGTCAGCTCAGCCGCCTGCCCCTGCCACACCAGGCCCCCGAGCCCTTTATCTTTCCTCCTTTTGTACTCCATAATCTGCTTGTTGAGCGCCTCATGATTGATACCACACACGCTGGAGCTCGTGGCCGGCTCTGCGGTGCCACAGGATTGCGGGGCATCGGCGTCCCTGGGAAGGAAGAGGAGCCTTCACACCAAGCACAAACGGAGCCCCCAATCCACAGTGTCATCGCCACAACACAACAGCACATCACACTTCCTACTCTACTCGCCTGAGAACCCTCCCAACGTCTGTCTGAGGTAACTGGAGACAGGAGTGAAGGAAGGTGGGCTGTGGTTTCAGCGTTCTCCAGCATCAGAAGCATTTGGCCAGCACAGTCTAGATGCACCATCCTGTATGCAATAAATGCATTTGCGCCAGGCACGGTGGCTCAGATCCGTAATCCCACCACTTTGGGAGGCTGAGGTGGGCAGATCACGAGGTCAGGAGTTCAAGACCCGCCTGGCCAACATGGTGAAACCCCGTCTTCACTAAAAATACAAAAATTAGCTGGGCGTGGTAGCAGGCACCTGTAATCCCAGCTATTCGGGAGGCTGAGGCAGGAGAATCGCCTTAACCCAAGAGGCAGAGGTTGCAGTGAGCCAAGATCACGCCACTGTACTCCAGCCTGGGCAACAGACTGAGACTCTGTCTCCAGAAAAAAAAAAAAAAAATGCATTTGCAACTGTTTTCTCTAAGCATGGCCAGGGCCTCGGGCCAGTTAAACTAGTAGAATTACAGGTGAGGTATATCAGATCTGCCACTTATTAGCCTTCATAAAGAGTCTATTCTTGGTGAACAGCACCTAATCGAGGCCATGTCACGGCCCCTGTATCCTCCAGGGCTCCACTCTGGAAAGTCTCCAAACCCTGGGCTCAGCTCCCTGACCTGCCACCCCCACACTGCCCCTTGCTGACCCACTCAGGCCAGGCCTGCTACAGTATGGAGCTTTGCTTCCAGCTCAGGGATGCACCTGGCAGGCTGGTTAAACCTAACTCTGGCAGGTGCCCAGGCGATGTTGACGCTGCTGTCTAAGGCCCACAGGCAAGGCCTGCTCTAGCAGCTGCATGCTTGCAATGAGGCCCTCCACAAACACCCCAGTACCCGCAGGCTCTGTCAGGCACTACAAGTTTGGAAAAGATGTATATGTGGGTGCACACGCACAGGCCAAACTTCTGTGCCCCCAGCCTGCTCTCCCGAGCCCCACCTCCCTCTACCTCCCTCCTCACACACGACTGACCCATCTATGATGTTTACAGCTTCCCGTCAGCTTCCCCTAGTGAAAGGCAGGTTCCAAAGACAGCTGCATCCTAAATGCTAGACCAGGGCTTGGCATACAGGCGGCACTCAATAACAACATGTTGAATGAATGAAGAGGACAAGAGGCCCTCTCCTCACTGAAGGAGTTATAGCAGACACCTCTGGTAGCCCCTGAGGCCTCCACTGTGTAAACGTGGCCAGGCCACAGCACAGGTCTATGAATATGGGCTGCCGGCTCTGGGGGCGAGTGCCACGGGGTCCACGCAGGCTACTAGGGATGTGGAGCTGTGCGGCTGCTGGGAAAACGGCAATTCCACACCCAGGGATCCACCCCAGGGAATCAAAACATACGTCCACATGCACCACCTGAAATCATTTTGTACAAAGTCGTCTCTTTCCTCCCGGGGTCCAAAGTCTGCGACTGCCAGTAACTTGTCAAGCTACAGAGGAACACAGAGGGCAAACCAGTTAGCCACATCCCCACCGCCATACTTACAGCCGGGCTCCATGTAACACCAGTGTTGGTAACTGCAGAGCTTTGGATCAGACTTTGCACAATTTCTTCTATTGACTCTTCCCAAATACTAGGATCTGTTCAGTAGCCTGTGCTTTCAAATACCTTACTGTTACTTTTACATAACACGTTTCCTCTGATAACAAAGCGAGGCTTTTTAAAAACTACATTTTAGACTTGTAAATGTTACTCAAATTTATGAAGAAACCAGTTAAGCATTAGTTGAATTAAATAACTAACCATTATCTGGTTTCCAAGGTAGTTTTGCAAAATGCTTCAGTTTTGCCACAGAATTTGTGTGCTTGGGGGGAAAAAAGCCTCCAAGCAAGACAAGGTAAAAGATGATGGGGACAGTCACGAAGCCAGGAGCCTAAACTACAAGAGAAAACTGCTCCTCAGCCAGGCTCATGGGATGCCATCCACACCACGGCAATGGCCCACAAGCCCTGCTGGACACTGCATTCCACCCGAACCCTGGCCTGCCCGTCCCCTGCCTCTGGGGGTGTCCTCATCCTGCTCCAAGCACAGCATGCACCCTCCCCTGTCCAGTGACTATTCTGGAAGTGAACCCGCAACACCTGATGGGACCTCCCTCCCAGAGACAGGAGCCTGGGGTCTGAGCTCAGAGAGACTGGCACCTCCTCTCCAGGGAATGCCTTGCTGATGCCCTCGCAGCACTGTCCTTGATTCCTTACAGCAGGGACTATAACTTCACTCCTTCATTTCTTTTGCTAGCAAGGGAAATCACATATCTGTCAAGCTTATTACTTGTACAAAGTTTTTAGTGTTACCTATACACTGATTAAGAAAAACCAAAAATGTCAAACTGCATCTTTTTCTTCTGGGGATCCAAATACTGTCTGGTCCTATACTGAATAACAGTTACCTATAATACTGCAAACGCTATTCGCTGATTTTTGACGGAGTTTTTGAAGGTATAACATACCTTAATAACTACCAGATAACCAACAGCCAGGGAAGTATATATTTACGTGTTTTTAATCTTTACAGCTAACCCAACTCTAAAGCAAGGAAAATGATAAAAGCACTTACAGTTATAGGACAGACCTAAGTCTCACAAGCCCTGATGGTGTGAAACGAGAGTGGACTGATCCATGTCGAGAGGTGGGAGGGAGAGACAGGTGTGGGAGGGAAACTTTGGCCGTGTCAAATTTATACCCTAGTTAGAGCTACAGTGATAAGCATTAAAAAATTAAAACCGGAAAGAGCAATTACCTCTGGGGACCTGGGCTGGGAACAGGGGCACAGGAGCAAGGGAAAGCCTTTTCATTTGCACCCTTCTTTCATGACTTTTCATTTGTTCCCTTCTCAGTGGTTTCTTCTCTTTTTTTTTTTTTTTTTTTGACACGGAGTCTCTCACTGTGTCGCCCAGGCTGGAGTGCAGTGGTGCAATCTCGGCTCACGGCAACCTCCGCCTCCCCAGTCCAATTGATTCTTCTGCCTCGGCCTCCCGCGCAGCTGAGACTACAGGCACGCGCCACTATGACCGGCTAATTTTTTTGTATTTTTAGTAGAGACGGGGTTTTGCCGAATTGGCCAGGCTAGTCTCAAACTCCTGACCTCGTGATCCACCTGCCTCGGCCTCCCAAAGTGCTGAGATTACAGGCTTGAGCCACTGCACCCTGCCTCTTCTCTTTTTTACCTGTGCATTCTCTTTTCAGGATTTAAAATTTAAACTTAAAATTTTATTCATATAAGCATTTATGTTATAAAAAGTTAATTATTATCTGGGCCCAGTGGCTCACACCTATAAATCCCACCACTTTGGGAGGCCGAGGCAGAAGGATCACTTCAGGCCAGGAGTTGAAGACTAGCCTGGACAATACAGCAAGACCCTGTCTCCAATTAAAAAAAATAAAAATTTTAAAAGTTTAAAAAGTTTTTTTGAAACCTTACCTCAGCGAGAGCTGCACTTTTCTTGTCTTTAACAAACACTATCGGTGGCACATTCCTCACGGTCTGCTGGGACATCAAGAGGTGCCTGGGAGAGAGAATGCACAGAGCCTCACAGCTGTGCCGTGATGCTCAGTGGAGAGGTGTGACGGTGCTGAACACAAGATTCAAGATGTCACTAAGAGGCAGGAGTGAGATTTATTGTATTACTCAAAAATGAAAACATCAGCCCAGAAGAGTCATCTTTAGCCAACTACCACATCACAAAAGGGATGCAAAATGCATCCTAACTGCAATTTCCTTTACTTATCTCAATGCAACTTGTGAGATCTGTATAAATCACCCGATCTGAACTCATCACCATGGCCGTGGGCTCCAGTGTCTGTGCACTAACAGCCTGTCCTCCCGCGCTCAGTGCACACGCCTGGCACGACACGACCATCAGGTTCCCAGATATTAGACACAGAAGTGATATTTGTATCACGCACATTACATAATACAGACCTAAGGCCAATGTAGGCACGGCACATATAACCAGTGAAAGCCGTGACCACAGATCTTTGGTACACAGCTATGGAAAACCTTGACCCTAAATCTTGGGTGACCCACAGGAGTTGGGAAGAGCGACATTCAGCTCAACTGAATTTTCTGATACCTAAAAATCGGCAAACAATGCTGTCTCAACACTTGTCGATAATCTCCATTTTCTTGGTTTTGTTAAACAGTAAGAAATGAAATGAACGTTCTCTGATATGCAGTTTCACAGAGCCCTGGGCATCATCATGCGTGGTAACGATGCAGGGAAGCCAGGCAGGGTGCCGGGAACGAAGCCCACACGTGGCCACCTTGTCTATGTCTGTCCCCCCCCAAACATGGGGCATGATGAGAAGGGAGGCAGAAAGGAGGAATTCCAGTTCTGAGAGAGCTGGTCAGTGAGCTGGATTTCTGCACTTTTTAAACTGAGGAGGAAACTGAATAATTTCTTTATCATCACCCAGCTCAGCAATTCCCAAAATTGTTGGTCCCAGGATCCTTTACAGTCTTAAAAATTATTGAAGATCCCAAAGAGCGTTTGCTTATGTGGGTTCTATCTACCAATATTTACTTTACTAGGGTTCTATCTACCAATATTTACCATACTAGAAACTAAAACTGAGAAATCTAAAAGCTATGTCCTTTTAAAGTCGCTTAAAAACCCACTAAATGCTTACATAGACATTTTTAACAAAAACAAAAAGTATATACTCCCCCCACAAAATCAATGAGAAACATGGCATTGTTTACATATTTGCACATTCTCCAAGGCCAGCTTCACAGAAGACAGCTGGGATCTCACTGCTGCTTCTGCACTCTGTCCCTCCTCTCACTGAAATATAAGAAGAGCCAGCACAGTAGCTCATGCCTGTAATCTCAGCACTTTGGGAAGCTCAGGCCAGAGGATCGCTTAAGCCCAGGAGTTGGAGACCAGCCTAGGCAACATAGGGAGAGCCCATCTCTACAAAAAATACAAAATGAGCCAAGCATGGTGGCACGCACCTGTGCTCCCGCTGTATGGGAGGCTGAGGCAAGAAGATTGCTTGAGCCTGGGAGGTTGAGGCTGCAGTGAGCCAAGACTATGTCCCTGCACTCCAGCCTGGAGATAGAATGAGATCCTGTCTCAAAAAAAGCAAAAAAAAAAAAAAAAAAAAAAAAAAAAAATCAGGCCTCCCAGATATGTGTTGGGAAGAGAGAATTTAACAGCTCTGAGAAAAGTATGAATCTTCTTTGTCACAAAAATTCAACAAAAGTACTTTATTAAAGGTCAGTTGTTCCAGCCTGGCCAACACAGTGAAACCTCATCTCTACTAAAAACACAAAGATTAGCTGGGCATGGTGGCGGGCGTCTGTAATCCCAGCTACTCAGGAGGCTGAGGCATGAGAATCGCTTGAACCCAGGAGGCAGAGGTTGCAGTGAGCCACTATCACTCCACTGCCCTCCAGCCTGGGCAACACAGCAAGACTCCATCTCAAATAAATAAATATATAAACAGCTGCAATGAGGAATCTGAAACCACACCAATGAACCTGTCGCACTCTGCTACATTAAAACTCACCATTGGGCTCACACTGTGAATCGACCTCTCCACGTGCGGTTTTGTAACCTCATGCACTGGTCATTTGGAAAACAACAGTTCACCTAGTTATGCAGATTTTAAAAGCGTTGACGCGGTTTACCACACGACAGCACATTTGTTAAGGTCGGTGGCTGGCAATCTCATCAGAGGAGTCTCAAGTATCTAGACGTTGCCAGGCTCACAGTGGTGCATACAAGTTCCCTAAAATTCTGATTTTCACTTGAAAGCTTAAATTGTATCACTGGCAACAGATATGGTCCGTTGTTGGCTCTGGAGTGGTGGGTTCACTCACTCATTTCTGAAAGAATGTCTGACAGACACCCACACCTGAACGGTCTGCTCACTATGCTTTTCTGTTCAGCACTCTCCAGACAGCAAGTCATTTACATGTACTTCCTATTACAAAAATATTAAAAAGACATGCTCAAGGGTCAAGATTTAATACAATTAATAATGTTTTACAAACTGTCTCGGATTTTAATTTTTCTTTGAGAAACAGGGTCTTGCTCCACTGTCCAGGCTGGAAAGCAGGTACCTCATCACGGCTCACAGCAACCTCCACCTCCTGGGCTCCAGTGATCCTCCTGCCACCACAAATTCCTGGGGTGACAGGAATCCAGGGGATACTTCCCACCTCAGCCTCCCGAGCAGGCGGGACTACGTGTGTGTGCTGCCACTGCGCCTGGTTAATTTTTAAATTTTTTGTAGAAACGGGGTCTCGCCATCTTGCCCAAACTGGTCCTGAACTCCTGGCCTCAAGGGATCCTCCCGCCTCGGCATCCCAAGCTGCGGGGATTACAGGTGAGAGGCACCATGTCGAGTCTCATCTGGGATATTCTTAAGTAAAAGTGACATTGTCTTTTACTCTAGGCTTGTGGCGTGGCGCCCCACAGCCCTGGCTGGCAGCATGGCACCAGCAGTCTTCCCTCACGGTTCCTGCATCCTCAGGGCAAATTGTCAACACAGCAGGAGAGGTGAAACAACGTCTCACCCTAATGAACTCCCTCACAGGATCTCCAGATCCCTAGGGATCCTGGCACACTTTGAGAAATGCTAACCTACATTACGGCTTATATGAGAAAGGAAATTATACTATGAACTTCAAGAAAATGCTTCCAAAATTTTCTTTAAAAGAAAAAATACTCAATGAAAAGTTAAAGTCCACCTACAAGAGAAACAGCTGAGACACGGAGGGTGTGAGCAAAAAGCAAGTACATTCAGAAAGCAAAGGTCGTCACCTCATGGACGCGGCACTTCTCTGCAGGACAGCCTCCATGTGTGCGTTCTGCTCGGCAGAGGGCGTTGTCTTCCAGTACACTCGGCAGGCTGAGAAGTCCGGAGTCAGGGAAACCTGACACCCCACCCCGCACAGGTCACTCTTTAGTTTACGTGGGTTTTCAAGACAAACAACATCCAGGAGATGAAAACCACAGCTGCAGACGCCCCTCCCACCCAAGGCAGGGCTCTGGCACGTTGCTGGAGGCCACCACCTGCTGCCGCACACGCCCCCACGTGAAGTAGGGCCCCATAACCCAAAACCTCCCTCCCCTCTTCACCAGGTCCTGCAAACCAAACCACCTGGTTTGCAGAACCAAACCGGAATCCTGACCCCACGCTTGCCTCACAGCCACTTGCCCTGGGACGCTAATCAAAAATGCTTGATGCTGCCTTTTCTCCTCACAACTCAGAGTGGGCCAGAGGAAGTCATCTCCTGTACCTCTGTACTGAGGTACAGGCAGATGCATCCTCTTCCCAAGGCAGGCTTAGACCTTCTACTATCTGACAACATGCCAGGTGCTGTTTGGTCACAGGACTCTCGCCTTCCAGTGAGACATCTGCCTCTGCACAGCAGACACCCACCATCTGTCTTCAGGGCTCCAATGACCAGACTGAGTATCACCTCTGCAACCCAGAACTAAGACTTTGTAAGTGCTAAAGTGGCTTTTTTTTTTTTTTTTTTTGAGACGGAGTCTCGCTCTGTCGCCCAGGCTGGAGTGCAGTGGCGCGGTCTCGGCTCACGGCAACCTCTGCCTCCCAGGTTCAAGCCTCAGCCTCCCGAGTAACTGGGACTACAGGCGCCGCCACCACGCCGGGCTAATTTTTTGTATTCTTAGTAGAGACGGGGTTTTACTGTATTAGCCAGGATGGTCTTTATCTCCTGACCTCATGATCCACCCGTCTCGGCCTCCCAAAGTGCTGGGATTACAGGCGTGAGCCACCGTGCCCAGCCTAAAGCGTCTTTTTTTAATTGTCAGGCAAGACTGGGCCAGGTAAAGTGAGTGCCAGGCCTGCTGTCTCAACCCATTTCTTCTCTTTGGCCATGTAGCCTACCTTGGAGAGCTCCACGTTAAGGTCATACAGCTCCTGACTCACTTCCGGAGTGCACAGCAGGTCTGTCAGTGCCTTATAGAGGAGACCGTTCAGGGCCCTCACGCGCACATGGTCTTCCTTCCTGGTTTTCTTTGAGGTGGTCTTCACGAGGAATTCCATCTTGGATGGTTTGTGAGTCTCCATCAAGAAGAAGAGCACATGCCAAGGTCAGCGTTACAACTCCAAACTCACCAACTCACACAACAGGGGCTGGGGAGGGCTGGACGGGCAACCTTTCAGCTGGATGAGCAGCTAATCACTCTTCGCTGCCTCAGCTTTCATTAAGATAAAGTTGGATAAACTGGGATCCTTTTAGATTTTTACCTGGTAACCCACCAAGATTAAAAGTACTGCAAGTAAATATTTTCTCAAAAAAAGTTTGTGTTGAGATATAATTCACATACCATAAAGTTCACCCTGCTAAAGGGAATAATTCAGTAATTTTTAGTATAAGTGATGTATTTATTTTTCAGAATGGGAGCCATATATTGCATAAACTTTTATGGTACATACACTAAAAACTAAATGGATATTACCATATTATAGTTTGATAAAAGATATGACTTTCCAGAGAACATTAATGTTGGTACATTTTTTTTTTGAAAAGGTAAAAACTCCATGTTGCCAATGGCATCCAGCCACATCCACACAGACACTGTCCCCTCCAATACAGAAACGGAAAGACCTCCAGGTAAGAATTTTGCCAACTTTTAAACCCTCACTCCCATCAAGATTATAAAGTGGCTCATGGCTTATACTCACCAAGTGAGAGCCCAAGGAAGGACCTTCATACCAAAACTTTTTTCTTTGGGGAGAAAATAAGCATTATGTTAGTGATGGCAAAGTCAAAAAGTTACATAAGCTAATTTAAGAGGTTATGATACCATAACGGTTTGTAAAGGGCTAAACTTAGACGTTACGTTACTGGCCATCTTAAAAAATTTCAGTATTTAATTGGTAACAACATGGGTTGTGGGGAAGAGGCTGAAGATGGTTTTAATTCAACCTCATATTTTCACCTAAATTCTACTTCTAGTCCCAAGGTTTGAGAGAAAGACACCTGCCAAGCTGCACAGAGACACTAGAGTCTAATCGATAAAGACGTTTCCCATGGAAGTTCAGGTAAAGGGTTCGGATGCTGTCACAGGCATGGACTGAGACCGAACAGTTAAGCAAATGAAAGGTGGCAGCCACGCTCACTACTGGAGTGGGACTTACAGATAAGCAAGGAGGGGAGGCTAGAATGATCCACACAGTACGTTCTGGAGTTGGAGACAAATGGTTATACATAGAAATGTTTATAGGTGCATATTTACACGAGGGTGAACAGGAACACATATATCCTTTCATCAGATGAGATGGCCTGAAGACAGACACCCCAGAAGCAATGAACACACCCAGCACCCATGGTTTCTAATCTCTCTCTCCAATAAAAGGAATGAGGGCTCCTTGGAGAAATGGCTGATTTTAGGGCTGCGGTAGGAAACACACAAGATGAGCCTGGAGCATCTTGTAGTGCCAGAAAGCAGGAAAGTGTTTAACACACACAAAAACCCAGCAAAATGCCATAATGACAAGGGTATGGTAACAGCACATAGGAGCTTAGAGAGCTGCTAAGGGCCAGAGCTGGAAACATTTGAACAAAACTAAGTAACACAGGATTATAACCCACGAGTTCTTGGTGATATGAATGAATTAATAAATGGGGTGAAGAGACACATCCTCTCTGCAGAATGCAAATCACTTAGGACAAAATTCCCCACTCCTTAGGCATGGGCTGCACACAGCGACTTTCTCCTAGAGTACAGAAAGGGGGCAAAGAGTAACTTTACGGTAGAGAAACCTGGCAAGCACCTCACGCAGGGGATCACGGCCAACGTGGACCGTGGATACGGTGCGATGAGAATGGCCTTTACCTCTAGTCTTCCTCCCCAAAATCCATAATCCACATCTAAGCATTAAAAAAACAGGCACATTCCAACAGAGGGGCATCCTGCAAAGCACCTGACCAGTACCCCTCCAAACTGGCACAGCCATCAAAAACAGGGGCAGTCTGGCACACTACTCCAGCCTAAGGAAACAAGACAATTCAATGTAACGTGGACCTTGGGTGGGGACCTGGGACAGGAAGGGACGGCAGGCAGAACCAAGGAAAAGTGAATAAAGTACGGGCTTCAGTTAGCAACAATCTATCAGTGTCGGCTCTTTAACTGGAGAAGCTAAAGTCCGACGTTAATACAGGGGGAGCTGGGTGCCAGGACACATGATCTCGGTACTATTTTTGCAATTTTTCTGCAGGGTCTAAAACTGTCTTAAAAGTAGTGTATTAAAGTAGAAAACATACACCCATCTACCATACTTAGAAGAACTAAAAGCAGCGTGAAAAGTCATTATATTTTATTGTACTTATCTTTCATCATTTAAAAATACTAATTATCACGACAAGCTTTAGTCTTCAAATTAACTCCACACAGAAAGTCAACATTAGCAACGAAATTCTTATATTTTTTCATTTTTCCTCATTTCCTGAAACTAATCTCCTGAAAAATACGTCCGGTGACAAGAATCAAAATAAACACACATTGTCACTTTGTTTTTTTAACCCGACACAAGTCCACGAACAGAAAAACTGTGAATGTTGACAGTGAGAGCCGAACTGCTGCAGACCCCAGGAGTCAGGAACTGGCGACCCAAGCCGCGTGGGCGCAAGAACGCGGGTGGGCGGACACCACAACCCGGGGACACCGCCCCCCAGGGAACACCGCGCCCGAGGACACCAAACCCCGTCGCATTACTTGGTTTTCGAGGCAAATTTCTTGAGCCAGTTCTTGCAGAAGACAGCAGAGCCGTGCACTCCCCGCGCGCAGCCTGGAAGAAGCGCAGCATCACGGCAACGGAGCAGGCCCCGGAGACCCGCGCGGGAGCCCCACAGCCCACCCGCCACAGCCCACATGGCGCGGCGCGAAGACCCGGCGCAACCAGGGAGACAACGGGCGCAGGCGCGGAGCGACGACAGACGCGAGGCTGGCGGCGTGTGGGCGGGGCGACGGCGCGGAGCGCAAGGACGACATACGCCGGGCAGGCGGCGTGTGGGCGGGGCGATGGTGCAGGGCAGGGCGAGGACAGACGCGAAGTAGACGGCGTGTGGGCGGGGCCACAGCCCGGGGCGGGGCGAAGACTGGGTACATGGCGGGCGGGGCTACGGCGGCGGAGGGGCGAAGGCCGGAGGCGGGCGGTAGGTGGGCGGGGCGAAGGCCGGAGGCGGGCGGCAGGTGGGCGGGGCGAAGACGGACGCGAGGCGGGCGGTGAATGGGCGGGGCGAAGACTGAAGAGAGAAGGACAGCGTGAGGTGGGCGACTACCGGAGCGAGGCGGGCGGCGTGTTCGCGGGGCGTGAAGACAACCCCAGGTGGGCAGTGTGCGGGCGGGGGACGGCGTGGGGCGGGGCGACAAGTGCTAGACGGGAGACGGGGCGGGCGGCAAAGGGGGCGGGACGCGAGGCGGGGCCGGCGGGAGCTGGGCGTGGGGAGGCCCCACGGGCTGCGCGGAGGGTGTGCGCCGCGGGGAAGCGCGGGGACCGCTCGGTTGCCTGGCACTGCGGAGCTAGGGAACGCGTTTTGTTTAAATGCTGGGAACTGACGTAGTCGGGTTCTCTGCACAAAGCAACGAAGGCATCGAAGCCTGGAGACCTGGGCAGGGCCGCTGTCGGCGGGAGGCTGCGAGGCGTCCCTGTTTCCGCCTCTAGGCCCTCCAGGTCTTTGCTCCTGCGCCGCCTCCTCCCCGGGCACCCAGAGAAAAACCCCAGATTGGGCGTCCTCCCCAGAAGTGGTTTCGCCCCGTCCGCTTCCCCGGAGTCAGCGTGGCCAGGCGGGGAAGCTGCTCCCCCCGGGTGGGGACAGAGAAGTGAGCGCGACCGCAGCGCTGGGGATGTGTGGGCTGTGACGTCCCGAGGCGGCTGCTGTGGTGTGAGACACGTCTGTGTGTGTGTGTGGGCGCGTGTGGAGGCGTGCATGTGTATGTGTGCGTATGTGTATATGTATGTACGTGTATGTGTGTGCGCGTATATACGTGTGTGTACGTGTGTATCTATTGTATGTGTATGTGTGTATATATTGTCAATCGAAGAAAACGACGAGACAAGTCTCTAATCATTTTAGGAGATTTATTTGCCAAAGTTAAGGACGCACCCAGGAGACAAGTCTATGCCTTTCTCCAAAGATAAGATTTTGAGGGCTTCAAATTTAAAGGGGAAAGGGCGGAGTATTGAGAAGCATAGATTTTTCACAAACAAAAGGGGGCAGAGGAGAAATGTGGGGAATCTGCATTTTACGTAAGATAACGCAGACAAAGTGGGGTAGGGGAACAATCAGGTGGGCTAGGGTGACTGCACCTGTAAAAATAAGCTATCAATGTGCATTGCCATGGTTACGTTTTATTTTTGTTTTCATTTTTTTGAAATGGAGTCTCCCTCTGTCGCCCAGGCTGGAGGGCGTGATGTCCGCTCACTGCAACCTCCACCTTCCGGGTTCAAACAGTTCTCCTGCCTCAGCCTCCTGAGTAGCTGGGATTCCAGGTGAGTGCCACCACACCCTGCTAATATTTGTGTTTTTAGTAGAGTTGGGGTTTCCCCATGTTGGCCAAGCTGGTCTCAAACTCCTGACCTCAAGTGATCCGCCCGCCTCGGCCTGCCAAAGTGCTGGGATTACAGGCGTGAGCCACGGCGCCCGGCCACCATGGTGAAATTTGAACAGCTCACCAGGCATCTCCTTGTGGGCAAAATATGGGGGAGGCGTGTAGCCTTTCATCTTGTAGCCATCTTATTTAGGAACCAAAAGGGGGAGGCAGGTAGGTTTGCGTGACCCAGTTCCCAGCTTGACTTTTTCCTTTGGCTAAATGAGTTTGGGGTCCCAAAATTTAATTTCCTTTCACATTTCCCCCCCCTCCTTTTTTTTTTTTTTTTGAGATGGAGTCTCGCTCTGTCGCCCAGGCTGGAGTGCAGTGGCGCAATCTCGGCTCACTGCAAGCTCCGCCTCCCGGGTTCACGCCATTCTCCTGCCTCAGCCTCCCGAGTAGCTGGGACTAAAGGCGCCGCCACCGCGCCCGGCTAATTTTTTGTATTTTTTAGTAGAGATGGTGTTTCACCATGGTCTCGATCTCCTGACCTTGTGATCCGCCCGCCTCGGCCTCCCAAAGTGCTGGGATTACAGGCGTGAGCCACCGCGCCCGGCCCCTTTTTTTCTTTAAAGTCTTTTGGAGAAAAGCATTTTAAAAACGAATTGGGTTCCTGGCCTCAGGTTGCTGCTTCCTTCTTTTTTTCCACCTGCTGGTTTGTCGTTGCTAGGATGGTTTATTCCTAGAAGTTCAGGTCCTACATCACTAGGAATTCTCATTCCTAGGAGGTCACGTCCCACGAAGATAAAAAACCGAGAGAAAAGGAAAAAAGAAAGAGGAAAAAAAGAAAAATGTATAGGGACCTAGGCCAGACCTATAGCAACAAAAGGAGGGCAAAACTGGAAGCTGGGTCAGGCTATATTACTACCTCCTCAACTACAGCAATTCTCTGGGCAATCATTATCCTAGCCCTTTCAGCTACATGTGGGCTTATTTGCAAACATATACCATAACAACATTATAAGCTAAAAAAGGACAGATCAGAAATTATTCTTATAAGTACCAAGTTCCCCAGAATCCAAACCAACTGCTCAACCAATCAGTGAGGGTTTTGGATCTGACAGGTTGATTATCTGGGTTTTCATATCAGTCATAGCCGGGTTATGTTCTTCGATATCTGGAATATACACACAACATTCCGTTGTTATGATGGCGCATGTGCCCCCTTGTGCTGCTGTTAATGTATCTAAAGCCGTATGATTTTGCAGCACAGCTTTCCTCATAAGCATGACCCCATTGTTTAGGGCCTTTTGGGTGCAATTTGTTAAGGCTTCTGTATCCCATATAACATCTTCAATAGCGATCTGTGGTACAAAGATTGAAGTTAAATGATCATACCGTTGGAATACTGAATGTGTCCAATGAGATTGTAAATGAAAAAGGTTTGCTGTTTTTGGCAGGGTCTGCATTACTCATCCTTGTGCCCAAGCGTAACCTAGGGAGCGTCGTCTCAACCACCCTGGAGGTGACCACGGCCATAAGTTAGTGCCACATAGCCAATATGTCCCATTTGGAGCTAGCCAGTAAATACTTGCATGCTAGGCAGTGTCTCGTAATACGGTAATGTAGTCACAACATTCTCCAGCTGTCCACCACGTATCTCTTCCTACTGTTTGGCCACAGGTCTTGGGTGGGATTTCTTTGCTCCCAGCACAAAGGAGCATTTTGGCTGGGTTGGCCAAACGAAGGAGTGAACCAGATAAATCCATCCCAAGTTTGCATTATTCCATTTTGAAAAGGCCTTATTTGGGGCATGGTCACCACTTTTAGTTGGGGAAATGCTAAAGTGAGAGCTAATGAGCTGGTCCTTTCCATTGAAAAACTTTTCCCATGTCCCTTGTTCTTAAGAGTGTTTTTATGTATTCATTTGTTTTGACATGGAGTCTCACTCCATCGCCCAGGCTGGAGTGCAGTGGCGTGATCTTGGCTCACTGCAACCTCCAACTCCCGGGTTCAAGCAATTCTCCTGCCTCAGCCTGCCAAGTAGCTGTGATTACAGGCGCCGCCACCACACCTGGCTAATTTTTGTATTTTTAGTAGAGTCAGGGTTTCACCACATTTGCCAGGTCTGGTCTGAAACTCCTGATCTCAAATGATCCACCCGCCTCAGCCTCCTAAAGTGCTGGGATAACAGGCGTGAGCCATTGTGCCTGGCCAAGAGTGTTTTTAGTGGGCTGACTATATATATTGCCTTTTGTTATGCCAGCACAAGGAATACCAGACTGTGTTTGTGATGTAATAAATTTTTGGTATTCTATCCAGTCCTGACCTTGGAAGGAGGATACCCTCCATGGGAGGCTGGAGCCACTGGAAAGAGGCATGAGTCCACATATCCAGCAGGTGTTATGTAATCTGTCTGCATAATCCTGAGCCCGTTGTAGAAATAGGTTTGTTTCATGGGTGGCAGTGGCAAGAAGGTGAAGGGATACATGATTAATAGCAAGGTTTTGAAATTCATCTTAGTCACTAAAAGGTGTTAAATCAGACAAGGCAAGTGCCCTGTTCTTTATTAGACAGCAGATGACGGTATATCTAGGACAATAATTGTAATGGTTATTGTACAGTAAACATAGGCATTTCTTTGTGTACAGGCCTGGTCCTGTGTCTTGGGTTTAAGCAGTCCACAACAGGTGTTGTCTGCTTCTCATCCTGGGTTGAAGGTCAATGTTTAGTGAAATGGAGGCCAAGGTCTTTGGTGGGAGTTACAGTCCACTCAGGAGGTTGGGCCTTAAGATGAGAGATGTGAATCCATGAGTCTACACCCTCTAATTTTATGGGATGTAGATTAGTCAATAGTACCTGGTATGGGCTCTTCCACTGGGGTTGAAGGGAATTCTGTATTACATGGCTTTTCCAATAGACAAAACCTCTGGGTTGCAGATTGTGACCAGGCACCCTATCTTCATGGAGCACACTATGAAAGGAATTCTTTACCAAATCTTGGCTTTTTTTTAAGGCGATAAGTCCCTCACAATATTGCAATATATCTCCCTTGAGGAAAGTTGGGTTACGTTTGTTCCCATACACGTGGGCCTCCATTATTATTTCTTAAGAACACAGGCGTTTTCCAAAAGGGGTGGATTGGAGTTTAAGCAGCACTAGGGGGAGTGCTTTGGTCTAGGGGAGGTGAAATGCTGGAGGCGAATTTAGCCAGTTGTGCCTCTCCACTAGGCCTGAGGACTGGGGATAGTAGGCACAATGGAAATGTTAAAATATGGGCCAAATTTTACAAATATTTTGAATAACCTGGCCAGGAAAGTAAGTTCCCCTGTTGCTGTGAAGTTCACAAGGGACTTGCCATAGTGGGATAGTTTTTTCTCATAGGATTTTCCAACTGCTACAGCTGTTGCTTGCCTGCAGAGAAAGCTTTTTAACCCAATGGGA